CCATGACACGCATGTCAGAGGTGACACGCAAACTCATTTTTTTGGTTGATTTTTCTTTGTTAAATGGCATTTAAATATATAAAATAAATATCAAAAATATAAGTCTCTGTTTTACTATGGTTGCAAATATCAAAAAATGTCTATATGTGACACGGCACCAGAGTTAAGTTAGGGTATTTCAAAATGCTGACACGCCGAGCTCAAAAGGTTCGCCATCACCATTCTGGAGGTCCTTGAAGCCAAGTTGATAGAGGAGGTCCCCAGGAGAACTGCGAACGTGGGAGAAGAAACAGAATAAGAGAGGACGGCAGTTGTGCACGGAAGTTAGACTGTCACTAAAAGGATCCATCGTTTTGCACAAACTGAATAAAGAGCCTGAGCAGAGGCAAAGGGGAGAGCGGGTGCCGGCTGCGCACCAGTGGCGGGAACGTCTGCAGAAGACGAGAGGAGCCAGACATGGATGCGTGGACAGCTACGGCAGACGCCCGGGCGTGGGTTGGGAATTGAGGAGCTTTTATACTTATTTGTCGGCTAGTCTACCAGCGCGTATGGAACTCTTAGGTCCCCGAGTGCCATGAAGCCCACGCAGGTTGTGTTTCAGGACGAGTGAAGTTGTGATGAAGGCAGAGATGGACTTAAAACCCAAAGCAGTGATTCCATGATGAAGTGATGAGGATCGAAACCAGGACAGTCGCAGTGAGTGCTGAGGGCCAAGAGGTTTCAAGGAAAGAAAGGGCAAGACTTCGGGGGAGATGAGTCCAGGAGGAGAAAGGTGAAGACGGCCGCAGGATTCCCACCGTAACATGTCAGCGACCGTGTTCACAGCTGCAACCTTTCTTAGGTTCCGTCGCATTTATGATCATTGTGCCTCGGAAATTTTCTGATCATTCTGAAGAAGCGGCTAACCAATTAGATGTGACGAAAAATTCCATTTTCCCAATTTCAAAAAATAAGGAAACCATTTGCATGGTGTGAAGTAGCTTGGCTGGTTAGAATATGTGTCCCAGAATGATTTAATTTTGAATCCAGTTTATTCTGGTTAAGTTCAAAGATAGAATTTCAGAACTGAAATTCTGACACTTGTTCCATATAACCTCAGATGGAGAAATAAATAGAAATGCCACAGATGATTATTATGAAATTCATCATATTTTGGTTGATGATTTCTTTCTGTTCTTTGGCTTAAATTCTGATTCTCTGTGGTTATAGGCTTTGAGGCTCTGTGCTGAGTTTTGTTCTTTCTCTCTCTTTTCTCCCAATTCCACTTCCACTCGCCCTCCTCCCCACCAAATCATAATTTTAGGAACTGATGACAAGGGATGTAGGGAGTCAGATTTTAAAATGGGAAACACTGTGTTGTAATATTTCAAGTTTGTGTTTTTAATTTTTAAATTATGCTTAAGATGAGTAGAAATTTCAAAAGTTGGTAATAAGAAAATGAACAGAAAATTCACAGAATATAAAATATAAGTTGCTTCATTTTTTAAAAATCAGATCTACCGTTTTAATAAGAATGCCATTAAAACCCCAATGAGATACTATTTTTCACCCAGCAGACTGGCAATGACATTTTTTTTTAAAGCGTTAGGAAAGGTATGAGGAAACACATTGGTAGTGGGAATATGAGTGGGCAGAGCGTCTAGAAAAATCAGTTTGGCAATAGCTATGGCAAATAAAAAAGCACTTACCCTTTGGCCCAGCCATTCCACAGGGAGCCTTGCCCACCAGTGTACTTGCACTGGGTACACAAACCCTTCGGTACCGCTCAGCATGTTCGCTTCAGCATCAGTGTGGCTGCCAAGGACTGGACCCGACCTGGATGCCCGTGCACAGAGGGCTGGTCACATTCGGTGTGGTGTTTGCACCGTGGGGAGTACGTGCAGCTCTTTAAAAACGAAGCAAATTTTTATGGAACGATCAAGGAACTACGCAGAAGGCCACCGCCTGCTGTTAAAAGAGCGGCACTATGCGTGCAGGTAGGTAGTATCCAAGACCCTGTCTGCACGCAGGGAGCAGGGGGCAGGGGGCCGCCGCTGTGATGCGAGGAGAGCTTGGGAGGAGACTGGAAGGAGACTTCCTTTCCACTCTGAACCCTCTGGGACCGGACATGTTTGGCAGTGGCACATCTCAAGTCCTCTTGAAGTCTATTCCCCTGACTCCAGAAAGGGCAGCCAAGTGGCTCCCCAGCACGGACGGGCCTTCATCCGTTGGTGGTGGAAGCGGGGTGTGCGCAAGCCAGTCCAAAGGCAGTGGTTGGTCGGTGCCTTTACAATAACAAGATGCTTACCTCTTAGCTGGCAGTCCGATCCCGCGGACACTGCAGCCTGTGCGCACACAGAAAGATAGACATACACGAATATGTGTCAAGGTAAACCTTGAGGATGTGTGCAGGTTCCTGTTCGGGTTTGTTTTCTTTCTGAAAACTCTCAACCGCTTTGTATTTCCCATGACTTTTGAGAAGTGTTCATTTCTTCCCATTTGGAACTGGCCCCGTGGTCTTAAGGTTCCATTCTTCGAACCAGGTTGCATCTCATTCACACAGTGGACCCGGAACCATCTCAATTAATGGTGCTGTCCTGTCTCTGAGAGTCCCAAGAGCAGAGAAGTGAGAAGAATTCACTGTTCACTGTTTGATAAGCACCTACTTTGTAGGCAGGCTGGGAGCATCCCACTAAATAACACAGACCTGGTCGTGGCGTTCCAGCCTCCCGGTGCTCCTTCTTCGTCACCGGGTTGGCCACGCTCCGCCTGCTGTGCTGTCCTGGTGCCGTTTCTAGTGCTGCTGCTTCGTCTTCCGTTTCTTCATTCGTGCTGGTTCACGCGGCGTTTCCCCACTCCCGACAGGGAGGGACATGCCAGTGGAATAGTGGCGTCCACTTGAGTCGTGGGCCCACAGATGGATCCTACAGGCCTTGGCTCTCATTTGCTTTTTTTTTTTTTTTAATATATTTTTTTATTGATTTCATAGAGGAAGGGAGAAGGAGAGAGAGATAGAAACATCAATGATGAGAGAGAATCATTGATCGGCTGCCTCCTGCCCACCCCCTACTGGGGATCGAGCCCACAACCCAGGCACGTGCCCTTGGCCGGAATCGAACCTGGGACCCTTCAGTCCACAGGCTGACGCTCTATCCGCTGAGCCAAGCCGGCCAGGGCAGCATTTGCTTTTTTTTATTTACACACAGGTGGACACTGTGGGGACGGGAGGGGGAGCAGTACAACCGTGGCTGTAAGGGAAGGTGGGCCGCAGACTGCGCTCATCCCAGTGAGGATGGGAACCAGGGAAGCACAAGTCACAGAGCCCATCTTCGCCGCAGCCCGGAATTTACCTCCCACGAACCAGGGGCTGGAACCTCCCAGCCAGTGGCCTGAACTTGCCGGACCCGAACTTGACCTCCTCCGACTCTCCCTGTTCTTCCTCCGTGCCTTGGCGTCATTGCTCTTCTTCTGCATTAGCAAAACTAGTTCCCATGCCTCACTCCTGACAAGCGACCTTTTATTTCTAAGCAAAAAAGCGTGTGCTGCAGGGGAGCCCGCCAGCCTCGGACGGGAGCTGAGAACCGGATGCCCCAGCAGGACTGGGCCTTCGCTTCACGTCGAGCGCGTCCACGTTGAGGGAAATCCCTGTGGTGATTCCGAGCGACGCACACACAGGGATGTTTTCTGGATGATGGTTATTTCTTGTCCCCGGATGAGTTCTGCAGTACAGTTTCGGAAACACAGCACGAAAGTGGTGCAGGAGGGTGCCGATCTTTGCTTTGTAAATGCCACCTTGGCTGTATCTAAACTGGACTAGAGGGGCCTGTCGGTGGTGTTGCGTTCGCTCCCAGGGCCCGGGTCCTGCAGCTGGGACGGCTGTCCGTGGAGGCGTTTTCTGAAACCCTCAGCGCGGCTGAAAGACAAGGCCCTCCTCCCTCCAAGCGCGGAGTGAGGCGGTGACAGCTCAGAACAGATGTCCCAATGGCCTCCAAGTGCTTGTCTTTGGTGGCACAGCCTCTGCTGGTCATGAAATGGTCTGTTAAGAAATTAGTTCCCCCGCGTGGGGGGGGTGGGAATGTGTTATGTCCATTGATTTCGCATCCTGGCAGGGAGCTGGCTCTTAACGCCTGGATTGTCCCCAAGGTTGGATGGATGTTGTTGGGACATCCAGGCCGCAGCAGCCACAGAGGAGAGGATGACACGGTAGCTCAGCATCTCTCCAGGGTGCCTCGCGTGGACTCACCGGAGAGTGGCGTGGCCTTTTATAGAAGAAGAGGGGCTCAGTGCAAGGTGCTAGGAAGGTGGTCTTGTAACCTATGGGGAGAGAAGGTGGGTGTCCCTGTCTGCTGGAGGTTTGCATGGTTCTCCTTGTAAAACCCACTTTACAGTTCACACTTGATGTCAGACTCCCACTGAAGGGGAAACTTCCATTCTCAGATAAACAGGGTCGGCTTAGTTTGTGGTCTCAGGGGCCTGACACGAGACCTCGGCATAACTGTTCAGGGGTGTTGGCGTGGAGGCCTGGTCTTCACTTCTGACGTCTGTCTGCTTGTCCCCACCGTCATCCATACTGTCCACTGCTTCCAAGGGACAGGTCAGCAAAGGGTGTGGCCCGAGGGCCAAACCCGACCCGCTGCCTGTTTCTGTAAATAACATTGGATCGGTGCGCAGCTGGTCCACCGTGTTTACACATCGTCGGCGGCAGCTTTCGAGAACTAAGCGAATTGAGTAGATGTGACAGAGACTGTTTAGCCCACAAAACCTAAAATATTTACGGCATTAGTTTGCCAACCCTGCACGTGAAAAGTCACAGAGAGCCCAGCCCGTGTGGCTCGGTGGTTGAGCTTCGACCTGTGAACCAGGAGGTCACGGTTTGATTCCCGGTCGGGGCACATGCTCGAGTTACGTAGGGGGCATGCAAGAGGCAGCCGATCAAAGATTCTTTCTCATCACTGATGCTTCTCTCTCTCTTCTTCTCCCTTTCTCTCTGAAATCAATAAAAAATATTTTTTAAAAATTAGGAAGGAAGCCACTTGCTGCAGGTGCTCGTTCGTTAGAAGGAGGCGCACGCCCCTGCACCCCTCCAGCCTCTGTGCTCAGGCTTCGTGCCCACCCACCGCAGATCCCGGCTCTAGCGGCTCGGGAGTCCCCCATCGCCTACACGGAGTTGAAACCAGGGGAACCTGTGAGAGCTGAGGGTCCACGGGATAGGTCGGTGCTACTTGTGCATGTTTGGGACACTCGTCTAAAAAATTAGCCCCCTAAGCCGCGCGGCCTTGGTTTTAGAATATGACATGCCTGGGTTGTCACCGCGAAATGACAACATGACTTCCTGTGACAAACAAAATGAGCCACACGGAGTAAGTTTTTACTTTGAGGTCAGATTGCAAGTGAGCATCCATTCAGTTTGATGTTGGTCCTCTGGTAATGAACTCTGAATACAAGCAAAGAAAAAAGTACACGTCTGTGCTCGTTTTCAAGCTGGTGTTTAAGAAAGCCTGCCGTGGTCTTTTTTACTTTGTTTTTTTATAACGATCAGATGCCTTGGACAAGAAGAGTGGGAGTAGGGAAAGGGGATGCCATCGCCCCGGGGACAGCGGTGCCCCGTAAACATCTCACCTCTCTTCTGTTTATCATGTATTTCAGGCCAATTCAAGCTGCTGGAACAGGACCGAGATATAAAGGAACCAGTGCAATATTTCAACAGCGTGGAGGAGGTGGCCAAAGCGTTCCCTGAGCGCGTGTACGTCATGGAGGAAATAACGTTCAACGTGAAGGTAGCTTTGGAAGAACCAAATATTTATCCTCACTAAATAGCCCGCAGGCCGTTATGTGCCCATCTGGGCCTCACAGGGAAAGGTCCATCTTCCTGTGAGGTGGACCTTGTCCTAGGAGGCGTCAGGGGCCAAAACTGGTCTTTGAAGAATTGCTTTTGCTGTAGCTGACCGGAGGCCCAGACGGGTAACGACGCTGCATTAGCCCTATCGTTTGCTAAACCGTTAAGGCAGCTCAGAGGTTGTCTTTTTCTCATTTGGACTTTATTCCCTAATGTGTGATCCTTGTTTGGCCAGATCTCCTATAAGGCTGATATTCCACTTGCAGGAGCTGGTAAAAGGCATAAGACCCAGCCGGCCTGGCTCAGTGGTTGAGCGTCGAGCTATGAACCAGCAGGTCACAGTTCAATTCCCAGTCAGGGCACAAGCCCAGGTTGTGGGCTCGATCCCCAGTGAGGGGTGTGCAGGAGGCAGCCGATCAGTGATTCTCTCTCATCATTGATATGTTTCTCTGTCTCTCTTCCTCTCTGAAATCAATAGCAATATTCTTGTGAAAGAATCATACGAAGGATCTAATGCCGTTCGCTTATTTAAAGAGAGAGACTTCAGAGCACAGTCTGGGATCGGCATATGTTCCTTCCATTTTTCAGAGACTGCCCGTATCAGGACACACGGGGAATTGATGTCTAGGATGTTGCCAACGGGAATTGACTGGTCCTTGCTCATCAGAGAAAAGCTAAATGGTGTTTATGGCGCTGCGTTCATTTTGCATTTGGAAAGGGACTAACCAGAGAAGTCATGGCTGCAACGAGGTGCAACCGTATTGCCTACAGATCCTCTGCATTGTCCTTGGCAGCATGGCATTCACAGCGACACTGAGACATCTTAGAAAGTGTTCACACTGACAAGAGTTTCTGTTGAACCTCATTTCCGCGAGAAGTCCGACTGAGTCCCGTCCTCTGAACATGTCGAGATTTAGAGGGCAAGATGCGTTTTTCTTAGCAATTCACTCTCTGTGACAGACAGACTGCGTGCGTGGTAGCTTAGCCCAAGAATGCAACGGTGTCTTTGGGGGTGAATCACTCCACCCTCGCTTCTCAGGAAAGAGGGGCGTGCTCAAACCAGCCTCCTTCCTGGAGAAGTTGTTCTGTCCATTCATTGACTAAGCTGTCATTCTCTCTTCCAGCTCTAAACTACAGCTGCTGTAGTCTACTTCCTTTACTTTTATTATTAAAACTGGTGAGATTTTGCGTGGCCCGTTCAACTTGTATTCAAGACACTTGTGTTCATTTACATTGAAGATCTGTGAGAACACATTCATTTTTTATCTTACCCACAGTCGTTGGCCAGAAGTTAATCAAATCCCATGAGTGCCTTGATATGATTTAAATGTCCCCTTAAAACTTATATTTAGAATTACCTAAATGGGAAAGAAAATCATTTGGAAAGGAAAGCTAATAATTTTAAACCCTTTTCTGAAAATATTTCATGGATTTTAAATAAAAGATTTAGAATTAAAACATGAGCCCGGCCGGCGTGGCTCACTGGTTGAGCATCTACCTATGAACCAGGAGGTCACGGTTCGATTCCCCGTCAGGGCACATGCCCGGGTTGCGGGCTCCACCCCCAGTGTAGGGCGTGCAGGGAGGCAGCCGATCAATGATTCTCTCTCATCATTGATGTTTCTATCCCTCTCTCCTTCTCCCTTCCTCTCTGAAATCAATAAAAATATTTTTTAAAAGAGTAAAATGATAAAATATGATCAGTAATCAGCAGGGTGGAAGTTTGCAGACATTGAGTGTTTATAATCATTAAATTTGAGGCCTTCCTCGTTGCCTCGTCCTACTCCTTTTGACACATATGAACACTAGGAAACAGATGTTAGCTGGCTTCATTGATTCACAAGAAGCCACAAAGCTCCTCAGCAGCCGAGCCAGGTCTCCGAACTCCATCCAGCCCCCTCTCCACTCCCTCCCATTCTCTCTGTGGGTTTGAGATAAGGCTGGCGAATGGGATCCGAACACCCATTCACATTGACACAAGAGCTTGCACACTTAATTCGTTTTCCATCTAAATAAGTGTTTCCAATAATTGTTACCTAACCAGATCCTTTTGTTTTTGTATTTCTGATACACAGGATTTGGTGGCTTTTATGAATGTGATACATGCAGATTTGTACACCTTATTCCATACCAGAGTATCATACCAATATTTTAAAAATAAAATCCTACACGTTAACTTGATGTTTCGTCTCTATTGGCATCAGTGTAGTTTCTGATTAGGTTAACCTGTGTCAGGATGAACCCCTTCAAAAATACCGCTGTAAAGTATTAGCCCGGAATGTTAACCAGTATTAACAGAGAAACAAGACTAGAGGTGGGTCTTTGCATTGTTAAAGAGACACTGAAGGGGCGGACGTGCATCGCTGAATACAGAAGCAAAAGTTCTGCAGTTGAATAGAATTCATGATGCTGAGTTTGGGGATTTTTTCCCCCCAAGGCTTTCGAGTTACTGGAAACCAGCCTCCTTTCCGCCCCCTGCCCCCGCCCCTTGACCTGCCCCCCGCCCCCCTCCCCCCCCCCCCCCCCCCGCCCCCAGTCATGGACTTGAGGCAATCTGTGGGCCTTTTCACTTAACATATTAGTTCCCCTCCAGTGCTGAAGAAGTAACGCTCTTTCCCCTTCGGCCAACTAGTTAGGCTGTCTCTTGTTTCCCTGCACGTAGCAGTTAACAAATTCAACATATGTCCTGGTACTTTCTTGACTCACTTCCACAGAGCAAACTGCAGGCGAGGCCTTGAGAATCTATTCCCGGGGAGGCCCTCGGCTGCTGGTGGTTCTGCTCTTGTCCTAATTGCTCGCCTCTCTGCCGCCTCTCTGATCCTGTTTGTCTTCTCAAAGGCACACACAGCTCACCGGCAGCCGTCTCTCTGGGCCCCCGGCCGTTCCCCGGTCGCCCTGTGAAGTCACACGGGGCAATGGTGCTGAAACGTGGATGCTCTTCGGGGAGCTGTTTGTTTTGTTGTTTTGTTTTAAGAGTCTGATCGTAACCATCATCCTAGTTTAAAATATGTCCCTGGCGTTGGGAAAAGGACGCTCCTGGCGGTGGGAGATGACGATGAGGCCCGAGGGCGGGGTCCCTGTGAGGGTGAACGGGCCGGGGCTGGGTCGCCTTGGAGCCTGAGTCGCTCTGGACCGCCAGCTCGGGGGTGGCTGTGAATGTGAACAGAAAATCCCGTCCAAAATGACTGTCATTTCCATTCAGTTTCTTAAAATGTATTGCAGTTCTCTGCCATCTTCAAGAGAAGGATTGAGCAACACGTAACCCTCACTCTCGCCTCCTGAGGCTTCTGCCTTTCTGTGGAGCGGCCCTGCCGCCCGGGGGTGGTCTGTGGCCTCCCTGAAGTGCTTTTTGTCTGCTGCCCCGTGTTTGCTGGGACACGTGCCTCGGCGTCTGTACGTCTAGTTTTCCTTTTCCCTTCCAGCCCCCTGCGGGCGGAAGCTGGTAGCCACGTTGGGCAGAATTGTGATGAGAGGGGAGCAGCACGCCGAGTGAGGGGGGTCCTTCAGGGTTTCCTCTGAGCCCGGCAGCAGCCACTGCTCAAGGCCTGTGAGCTCCCCACCCCCTCCCGGCTCTGCAGCCGGGCACCCCGACCGCCGGCCCGGGAGGCGCTGGTTCTCAGAACCGCCTCACCGGCGCGCTCGTCGCTGTGCGCACCTCGTGGGCGGCCGTGCACAAGCCCGGACGGGTGGCCTGCTGCGCACCTGGGCTGCAGGCCTCGACAGCATGTTACTGTTCAAGACACCACGAGGCTAAGTCAAGCACAGGGAAGGGATGTAATCCAGAGAGGTGGTAGGCAACAGTAAAAACTATCGTATAGTAAATCTACATTTAAGTAAAAATCTCTAGTAGAGTAAAAGCCCGTAGCATAGGCATGTATTGTCGTTATCGAGGATAACGGACTGTACGTAAGTGTACGTGCTATAATTTTATACACCTGGCAGTGCGGGAGGTTTGTACACCAGCCTCGCCAAAAACACCTGAGCAATAGGTTGCGCTAGGAAGTTACAACAGCGCTGAGGCCACTAGGCCAGTGGCTGGCAAATCGCGGCTCGCGAGCCACATGCGGCTCTTTGGCCCTTCGGTGTGGCCCTTCCACAAAATACTGACTTCTGCGCATGGGCCGCGAAGTTTCAATCGCACTGTAGGTGCGCGCCCCCACCTGGTATTTTGTGGAAGAGCCACACTGAAGGGGCCAAAGAGCCGCATGTGGCTCGCGAGCCGCGATTTGCCAGCCACAGCACTAGGCAATAGGGATTTTTTAGCTCCATCATAATCTTGTGGGCCACTGTCATATATGCCATCCACCATCATCCATGCCATCCACCGTCATCCATGCCATCCACCGTCATCCATGCCACCCACCGTCATCCATGCCACCCACCGTCATCCATGCCGTCCACCGTCATGCATGCCACCCACCGTCATGCATGCCATCCACCGTCATGCATGCCACCCACCGTCATGCATGCCACCCACCGTCATGCATGCCACCCACCGTCATCCATGCCACCCACCGTCATCCATGCCACCCACCATCATGCATGCCACCCACCGTCATGCATGCCATCCACTGTCATACATGCTACCCACCGTCATGCATGCCACACACCGTCATACATGCCATCTGCCATCATGCATGCCACACACCGTCATGCATGCCATCCACCGTCATGCATGCCATCCACCGTCATGTATGCCACACACCGTCATACATGCCATCTGCCGTCATACATGCCACCCGCCGTCATGCATGCCACCCACCGTCATGCATGCCACCCACCGTCATACATGCCATCCACCATCATCCATGCCACCCACCGTCATACATGCCATCCACCACCATACATGCCATCCACCGTCATACATGCCATCCACCATCATCCATGCCATCCACTGTTGCCTGAAACTTCTTTATATGGTGCAGGGCTGTACTCACACAG